AAGAAGTTAGAAGAGGCTACGCCCCCCCCCCCCCCCCCCCCCAAAAAGGGAAGAAGAAATTTGTACACAGACGGAGAAAGGGGACAAGCGGTGGAAAAAATGAAGACGTAGGTGTTAACCCCTAGAAGCTCCAGTGAGGAATGGTGAATAAGTGGGGTGAAAACAGAACGCGGGGCGCAGATGTGGCGGGTCCGGGGGACAGGAGGAGGAGACCGCGCGTCCGCCCTGAGCCGCGCGTCCGCCCTGAGCCGCGCGTTTGGGTAGCTCCGGGTTCCGAGTTGGCCCAGGAAGGCCTACACGTGGTCTGGGGCCGGGGAGTCCCGCTCAGTCGGCCGACCTCCGAGGCCATGAGCATGTTGGGACCACAGAGCAGGACGGGAGCCCCGATGTGACGCATGTGGTGGGTCCGGCCTGCTCCTCCTCTCCAGGCCGCGTAGCTAGTCCAGAGAGAAATCCACGGAGGACGCTTCGCGGTGGAATATCGATGTCAGAATTCCAAAGAAACCGCAAGCTGAGCCCAGCAGCCCGTCGGAAGATAGTGACCCACAACCACGTGGGTTTATTGAACAGTGAGAGGTCGTGGTAACGTGATCGGCGCCAGAAAAGTGCGTAATCTGCTTAACGTCTCCACAAAGTGGAGGCAATCTCCGTGGTTTGTTACTGGTGGAGGCCACGCGGGCCCCTGCTAGGATCTGGCAACCATCCCCGGGTACGACTCTAGCAAGGAGGCCTGTGTGGCACCCTCTTACTGGAAACTTTACGATATTTACGAGAAGTGGTAATACACAGAAACCGTCTCTAGGAAAATCAGCCGCAGAACTGGCCCGTTCGCCTCTCGCTCAGTGTTTGGGGTTCCTGGTGAGCGGCCGGAAAAGTAAAAGTAGCCGTGGGAGAGGCGGATGGAGGCTCAGCTCTTGGTGGATGATCTACTTGTTTTCAAAATTTAAGGGCCACTGACCTGGCACTTGACCGGTACTGACCGTGGCCCTCACGGCTGCCTTGACCCGGGACCCCGCCACCCCCGCTCGGCAGTTGGGGAGCAGAGTCAGACCGAACACTCGATGGTTGTCCCCCAGCGTAGGTGGGGAGGTGGCAGCTGGGACCCGCAGAGCCCAGTGCGGGGCGTCCCGCCCAGAGGAGGGACCTGATGGGACAAGCAGAGCGGGTCGCGGGAGCCAACTTGCTGCCACCCACTGCCCCCCCCACCCCCCGCCCAGTTCCCGGCAGCCAGTGATGCGGGGTGCCATCCCAGACGGGGGCACGTCGGCAGGGGCGGGAAGGTGGGAGAGGACTTGGCAAAGTAACGTGTCCCCTGTGAGCCGGTGGCCTCACTGCTGGGCATCCGTGCCCTGGAGGGGCAGGCGCTGATACACGGGCACCTGCCGCGGAAGGTGGGGTGCTGGTGTGGGCGGAAATAACATGCTTGCTAGAGCTGGCTCGTCCATTCTGGGGTAGCGGCTCTCTGCGTGCCCTTCTGAACTAGAGGGTGTCCAGAGAATCCCCTGCACTAGTCTTTTTCTGTGAAAACCAAGCCCTCTCCTGGGCGACTTGGGACGTTGGTGCCAGAAAACGGGTCAGGCTCCTGGCACCCTGTGCCGCGGCCTCTGCTCCCCATGTCCCCCGTGTGCTGGCGACCCGGCTGCCGGTGGCAGAGCAAGTGCACACGCCTGTTGTGGGGCGCCCGTGGTGGCCCCAGGGTGAGGGACGGTGGCGCGGAAGAGTTAAGCAAACCGAACCGCGACTCGTGGTGTCCGTCCCCAGACCGACGTTTGCTCAGGACCCAGAGCGCGTCGGGCTGCTCGTGATGTGTGTGTACAGACTTGCTGCCGTTTCTGTGTTGCAGCCGCATCTGGGACACCGCCTCGGGCCAGTGCCTGAAGACCCTGATCGGTGAGTGCTGCTGGCGTTGCGTCCAGGCTGGGTGTCCCCCGAGTGGCGGTCGCCCGGCCAGCCGCGGAGGGCACCTCGCCGTCCTCCGTCCATCGTCTTGTGTGGTCTTCGGGAGGCCCTCTCTTCTCCTCTGTCCTGGATCTGCTCCCTCTGGGCGGGGTCCTCCTCTGCGGATGGATTCCAGCTCCTGCCAGCTCCTTCTGGATGGCCTCTGGCCCCGCGAAGTCCCCTCTCCAGGCTGGGCCCCGTGCCGTGTTCCCTGAAGGCCCTCGGAGCCCCTTGGACCCTCCGCCTTCGCTCGGCAGACCCCGCGTGGGGGTTTGTCCTCGATCGTTCCTTGAGCGCACGTGACCGAGCCCCAGCCCTGAAGTGCGCCCCGTCCGCTGGCGGCCGGGGGAGTAGCAGACTGGGAAGACAGGTGGTGCCACCAGGCGGGGTGTAGGAGTGGCTGGGGGGTGGGTGCTGGGCCCCTGCAGGGCCCCAGACCTCCGAAGGTGATGGGGAGGGCGTCCTGGGAGGGTTCTGAGGCGGTAGGTCGCCTGGGGTCAGCCCGGAGGGTCCCCGCAGCTCCAGGTTCGAGCGTGAGGTAGAGCAGGTACTACCGAGTTCTGTGCTGCGGGGGGACTTGGGGGGCCCCGGGGGAGGGGACCGGCCCACCGCCCACCCGGGGGGGTGCCGTGTCCTCAGCTTGGCACCCTTCCCTGGGCTGTCACGGGAACGCACGTGGCCTGATGACGCATCAGCCCCGGCCAGCGTAGCACAGCACCCCGGGCTGGGCGGCTTAGCAGAACCTCCTCCCTGCGTCCCGGTGCTAGAATCCGAGATCTGGGTGCCAACAGGCCTGGCGTCTCCCGCGGCCTCTCCTCGACCTTCCTGCTGTGTCTTCACGGGGCCCTTCCTACGTGTGCATCCCTGTGCCCGGTCCTCTTTTGTCGTCCAGATGCTAGTCCAACTGGCTCAGGGTCCCCCGCACCAGCCTCCCTTTAGCTTCGTCCCCCCTTTGCAGGGCCCGATCTGCACACAGGGCCCCATCGGCTGACCTGCAAGGGTCAGGACTTCACCGTGGGAATTTCGGGATGGGAACCGTTCTGCTGTTTCTTTTGGTTTACGAGGCCACCTTTCGGATATGACCTCACGCTGAGTCCGCAGCGTCTGTCCCCAGAGGCCTGGCGGGACGGCGCCGCCGTTTGCACCTCTGAGGCTGCCTGGCACTTGCCCGTGTCAAGTGTCCTTCTGTTAACGTGACCCCCAGGGCGCTCCACCCCACAGGCAGGCGGGAAGCGGAGGCCTGGAGAGCCTAGCCGGCCAACCGGCAGCAGGCGGGTGCCAGCGCCGGGCCTTGAGCTCCGCAGCACCCACCGCGAGGGAGGGGGCGGCGCGTCGCCCTGTCCCACCCCGTTCCTGACACCGGGTCTCGGGAATTAGAGCTTTCCGGGTTAGAGAGCCTGGTACGACCACCCCTCTGCATTATGGGGCCTGCCTTCCTGCTGTGGCCCCTGGGACCCAGGACGGCCCTGTGTGGCCTCACACCTCCTTCTGTGCTTTTGCAGTGTTTGGGAGCTGTCGCAGGGAGCAGCGGCCCCCAGTGCCCGGGGGCCAGGTCCCTCGAGGTGGTAACGCTCGCACCACTCCCCCCGTTCCGGCACCAGGGTGCATGGCCCCGGTTCCGTCCCTCTCACCTGGGAGGGGGGACGCACGCCTCCCGATGTGAGGGTCACAGGGCCGTCATGCGGCCGCAAGTGCTGGCCTTGTCCTTGGCGGCCCCTGACGGCGGCTCTTACCCAGCTTCCCAGGCCGCCGGGCATGAGCTTTCAGACCTGGGTACAGAAGCAAGGACGTGGGTCTCCTGCCAGAAGGTGGTTTTTGGAGAATTGACAGGTCCTTTGCCCTGACTAGGCGACAGGAAACACCTGAGCTGATTCGCCTGCGTCCTTTCTCCTCAGTGGTAACACTTGCCCAGGTCAGCGGGGCCTTTACAGACCTTGCTGCACGTAAGGAAGTTGACCCTGGGTCTGCTTAGCGGCCCCGTGTTGGTGGAAGGCCGGGCATCCCTTTGTGGCACTTGCCACAGGCCCTTTGCTCTTCGAGCCCTGGTGGCAAAGGGGTAGTTGGGCCCCATCAGGGACCCAAGGAGAACCGGCCATTGTGACCGGCACAGGGTCGGGTGACGGGAGTGTCCTGGGTTCCTCGGGGACCCGTTCCGGGTGGTGGCGTGGGCACTGGTGGCCGTGTCCCCACTTGGATGGTCCTGTGTGGTGACGGGGGTGCCGTTCCCCTTTCCTCCTCGGGGCTCAGGCCCATCGCTCGTGCATCAGCCTGCGTCTGTGTTTTCCATGCAGATGACGACAACCCACCTGTGTCTTTTGTGAAGTTCTCTCCAAACGGCAAGTACATCCTGGCTGCGACCCTGGACAAGTAAGTGTTCCGACCTCCCCGTGGGGTGGGCCCGGGATGCGTTTCCTGCCAGAAGTACCTCGGAAAGATAGAGGATGTCTACATCTAGTAAAGGTCCTTGCGTTCTTCAACCTGGGACCCCGTCTCTGCTGGCGGCTGGGTCTCCGGCTGGTCTGAAGAAGGGTTTGGGGTCCAAGTTCGTCCGGTGACTCTGGCTCTGCCCGTGAGCACTTGGGCGGCACCCCACAAACTCCAGAGCAGGTGTCGCCCCCTGTGGGCGGGCCGTCAGACTCTGGCTGCTTGTGTGTACTTGGGCAGCCCTCTGGGGGCCACGCCTCGTCCCCAGGAGGACCCGTGGTCAGCACTTCTCATCAGCACCCTTGGGAAGAGTGAATTCCTGCCTGGGGAGGAGGGGATTTTTTGCAGCCACTAAAATCTGGTTCTGGATGTTTCTGGAACCCAAGTTCTCCACATCCCTCTTGTAGTGGGAACGAGCCACATACTGACCCCGGGAGCCCCTGGCAGCCTCTGTTTGGTGACAGAACCTTGTAGTTCTTTGAACCGTAAACGCGTGGGGCTCTTTCACTGTGAAATCCTCAAACCACTGGCCGTGTGCCTGCTGTGCTGGGCGCCCGCACTTGTGGAGGGTGAGGGGCCCGGCCCCTGGCTTTGCCCTGCACATGAGGCCGTGGGGATGCACGGTGCCAACAGACCTGGCCCCGCTCGGGGGGCCCCCGCGGACATGCAGGTGACTGCCCCCCTCTCTGCCTTTCAGCACGCTGAAGCTCTGGGACTACAGCAAAGGGAAGGTGAGCGCTGGGGGCGGGTTCGCAGGGTCTGGGCCGTGGCTTTGGCCGGTGGCAGAGCTGAGCCAGGGTCTGAAGCAAGAGGGGCTCGGGAAAGCGACCATCGGGTTGGCCTGGGGCACGTTTCTCAGACTCGGGACTTAGCAGGTGGCGAGTCTGTAAGTTAAAGCTTCAGTCGCGTGGCTTTGCACCGTGTCCCTGGAGTGCTTTTCAGAGCTAAGGTTTGTCGGCCGAGACGCCTGCGCTGCTCACGCGGGCATTGTCCCGAGTGCAGGGAGTTGTCGACTTGGTGAACATACTGGCTCTCTTACCTTCTCAGTGCCTGAAGACCTACACCGGCCACAAGAATGAGAAATACTGCATTTTTGCAAATTTCTCCGTCACTGGTGGGAAGGTGAGTTTTCCCCCAGTGAAGGAGCTTCTCACTCTCCCCAGCTGTCCTGAGAGGTGACCCTGTCACAGCTTGGCTTACGTAGCCACAGACGCTCTCCTGCGCCCACGGAGCAAAGCAGGTGCCTCCGTGACAGACGGCTTTGCTCGTCTGCTCCCGGGTCTCACGGAGGCAGAGCGTCCCCAGGGCGACGGTTCCCGTAAGCGCTTTGCCGCTCGGGGCCTGGGCTCCGGTGCCGGGTCCCAACTGGCCGCGCTGCCTCCTGCCCAGCCCAGGGCCCCGCTCGCGCTCGCCGCCTGGCGTGTGACTGGAGCAGGGGG